GTTGTGAGCCTGTTTAGCATTTTGGCAACAACATGGTGGATGTTATTTAGGTTTCAAATTTTGCAGGTAGAATAAAAATTGTTTAAGGGGATTGAATTATATGAAAACTTTTATTATTTACAGTGAGTTTAAAAAGATGAACATTTTTCCTAGCTTTTGTTTAAATGATCTTGGAGTAATTACTATCATTATTTATTAATAACGAATAGGTAATTACATACCAAACTCAATCGATATTCAAAATATTATATGTTTGTTTCCTGTAAATTATTCAATGAGATATGACAAGGACATCAGTCACGCATATAAGACACATTCGTTGGTAAACATAATGGTTAACGGTTTTGGAAGACTTTGATAAAACGGTTTTGTGTCTTAAACTGGCGGAAATCAGTCCTTGCATTAATTATTGTTTATGTACAGGCGTTGACTATCTACCCTCATGAATATCCAATGACTCTACGCTGCACGAGTTAAACACATGAGGTTGTTAATTTTTTATGCTAAAATAACATATATTATATGTTAGTGTCTTAACTCATGGCAAGTAACAGTAATTGTTGGACTTTGTGAAAATAATTGCACCTACATTTGGGTAACAATAATAATAATTGTAACGTACTCGTTAAATAATAACGATATTCGTTGATTAAATGAAGTTTTCTGTTGATGAATAGTATTAAAAATATGTTAAGAAGATGTGGTACGAATTTTTCGAGAATTTTATTGCAGAAATATTCATCCTTTTTAACTCATAGTATTCTGGGATACTATATTCTATATTGTAGAACAGAGCGAATTTATATTTATATTTTATAATTTCAATTTTCTATGGATATATACAGTTCAACATATTATCATATTAAAAAAAAAATAATAATAATAATAATAAATACTTTGAAATTTAATTATGTAATATTATAAATCAGGTAAATAACAGGTAAATCATAGTACTAATTACTAATATTAGTTAATTAGACTGAATACAACGAGCTTTTTATTAAAATCTTTTATTTGTGATTGAATTTTTGTAAAACATACTCTGATTTCCTTATAAATGAACAATGTTTTATTCGTTGATTTTTTTTTTATAGAGTGAGAAATTTTTTTTCCGTTGAATTATAATCGAAAATTAGTAATATTTATATTTTTTTTTTTATATTATTTGTACTTATACTTTAAAAATGAATCTAAAATGCATTGATTCAAATTAAATTTTTTATTTTAATAAAAAAGTTTGATAAATTTGTATTCCAATGAAATTTCTTCAAGACTAAATTTAGTTTAACCTTTTTTATTATAAAAGGGCCATTTATCTAAAATTTTGAAAGACTAAATGGATAGTATACTTTTCTATCATCTTATTTAAGGCAGTAAAATGCTCCAACACGAAAGAAAAAAATTCATAACTTTCTTGGACTATAGGTAATAACTAAAGTATTTCAAATTGATTTTTGTGTACAAATTTTTAATTTTTTTTTTAACAGTAAATAATTACAGTCTAAAAATATATCTGATAAGAAAAAATATAAATATTTTTTATGAAATAACTATGATACATAAAATTCTCAGAACAAAATTGTGATAGCAATTACCTACTAAAATATGTTAATCGCTGTCCAGAAGGTTGTAGGATACTAAATTTGATTTATTAGCAGATTAAAAACTAATTTGAACACTCAATATTTATTCATAATATATTTGTGTACGCTTTTATCACCTTTAGTTATAGAGTATTAACCGTTAAATAATACATATTTACATGTTTCATATGCATATAGATATAACTCTTAATTATTTTTAAGTACGATAATAATTGTTAAAATAATTTCTACATCATTCGCTGGCTGCTGCACTTATGTAACATATTATTTTTTTATTTCATGCTCGTCTCTGACGCTCAGATTTTTAATCCGAGAATTCTATAATATATGGTAATAATAATGTAATTCGCTAGGGAAACTGTAGGATAATATTTTAGTTACACAATTCACATAAAACCGTAGGTTCATAATGTTGCTTAACGATGTCTGTGGGCGACAGGGTAAAACATCAATAATTTGGAGGGTCATCTTTGATAAAAAAAAAAATAAATAAATAAATAATAATAATAAAATAAAAGCAAAATAATCTTCTATTTGCTATCAAGATTTAATTTTTTTTTTTTAAATTACTCGTACCTATTATTTATAATCCATATAATAAATGGAATCAGTAAATATTATTTCATACAAGTAATATAATATTAAAATATTAACAAATAATATATTATTATTGTTGTATACTCGTGTTCTAAAGCAATTTAAAGGCCACTCAGTCATAGTATCCAACAAGGGATTTTTAAATTTTTACTGGTAAAAATGTAGTCATTCAGTTATTTTGTATTGCTTTTATTTCTTAAAAATACACGGTCATAGCTTATGCGTCGTAACTTTTAATAATTTAATGAATACTTATATTGTTTCTATTGAACTTCTAACTCAAAATTGTTGACTGAAATTTTGTTTAGAAAAATAGCGCCTACCCAATCAATATAATGATTTGTAATACGCAAATTCAAATTTGTAATTTAAATCTTACCCCTTAATCTAAATAGTTTTTTTTTTTTTATTATTATTATTATTTAACCAGAGCCCTGGGTTGATAGTCATTTGTTTGTATGATATGTAAATTAACATCATGTAATATTTAAATATTTCACAAAGCCTATTATAATATAAAGCCCGAAAAAATACATATTGTTATGCCGATATCGTTTTCTATATTTAAATTCATATGTAAAATCAGTTTTATACAACGACATAAATAAAACTACATTCCCTACATTACCACTGTTATATTCCATATATTACGGTTCGTCATAATGTACTATTTTTTTAAATTTACTATAATATGTATTCAAATGAAGTTGTCATGATTTGTATTGTTTATATTATATTGCGTACATCAAAATCAGGTAACTATCATAAGCCCAACCGTAATAACATTATGAATATATTAATTTACGTTTCATGCCTAAATATTTATTATTTTATTTGATATTACTATCAAAAGCATATTACAGTAAATATTTTTATTACTTTTGTGCTACAAATTTATAATACCTAGTACCTACATAGGTATATTATGCAATATTACAATTTACAGTGGTCTAGTAATTGGATATATCATATAACTAAAATCATTAGCTAATGATCAAAATTTATTTATGCGTAGAAGCATTCAAATATAATAATAATTTAAAAACAGATTTTCAGTTTTTGTATATCCGAGGATTTTTATGTTTCTCTTTTAGGTTATGTGAATATTTCGTTATTTTATTATTTTTTCCCCTAAATCCCTCTCTACGATTGTGATTGTATGCCCTCGTATATTTTGGAATTACATTTATTTTTGCAGTTCTTTTTCTCTTTCTGTTTGGACACTCACCAATATTATTCTATTGCTTTTCGCAATAAAAATCGATTTCGTATGTATTTAAATACATATTTTATATCTTGGTAGCCTGTACATTTTATTGCATAATATCCACTTAAAATATGTATTTTTGCGAAAAAAAATGATTATAGGTAATTTCTACGCATGTTTTTAGATACAATAATTTAATATTAAAATAGTATTATAGTTGTATGAGGTTGTTGTAAATGATAAAATTAATTAAATCCTACATGGCTACCTACATCTTAATAATATAAATTGGCGAAGATATAGTGAATAAAGGGGAAATACCATATTGACGAGTATTCGACATGGTAATTTTTTTAATTTTGAAAATTGTTCATAGGTGCATTAGTTCTCATGTTATTAATAATGTTAACCGATGTACTAAGAAAATTACTTTCATAGAAATATTTTTTCTAATTTTAGTTAAGTTTAGTATGCAAACATTTTTTTTTAATATTTTTATTTATTCATATTAATATATTTTGATTAAATTCTACACTATATGCTCTGCTTAGAAATTAATCAAAAACTAAATTCCAATGATTATTTGTGTGCGTCTAATAAGTATAAACATTTTAAATTTGCAAATTTATAAAAGTACTAGATTCATTGATTAATATTTTATTATTATTATTAATGTATTTTTGGCAATCTATTTTTATAAATATATTATGATATATATTATAATTATATTCTGTTCCATTAAAAAAAAATAAAATAGAAATATCGCTTCAAAGTAGTTATTAGTTATGTTTACTGTCAAATTAAAAAAAAAAAAAATTCAATTTTGCTATGTTATTATTATAGAAATAACACATTTGACTATTATTTGAATTGTCATTTATATGTTATATTATTTTTTGTGCACAATAAAGGAGTATGATAAAATGAACAAACATTTTCCAGACATTTACATGAGCTTTGATATTGTTTATTTTTTTTGCCTATTTGAATGTAAGCTTTATTAAAAAAAATAAAATAAAAATAAACATCCCTAATACTTAATCTTTGCCTGCGAAGGCAAATAAAAAAACCTAAAATATATAGTTTTATTGAAATTCAATTATTATTATTTATTTTTTTTTTACTTTGACAGAGGTAATTTAGTTTTGAATCCAGTATTCATAGTTAAAATTAAAAAAAAAAAAGTATAAGTTTAAACCCTAATAATACAGCATAGGTTATACCTTGAATTTTTTTAATTAAATATAAATTCACAAAAGAAAACAACTTTAGAAATGCAATGAACCAATGAATGGATTATGATTTTCTGCTGTACCATTTATATTATGTAGTATATTACTCGTATTTAAATTAAAATACAAAGGGACTTTATAGAGTAAATAATTATTAAAAAACTGCTTGCTAATGAAAAAAAAAAAATTAATTCACTATCTATAAAAATATGTAGTACATATATGATTTTTTGTGTTTGAGAATACTTGTGTTAGGTTTATAGCTATAACATAATTCTATATAATATGTGTAATCTTAAATGTATATATATATTATTTTTTTTTGTGCCATTCGATTACATAACCCGTTGTTGAACGTACCACGCAGTCGCCCAAGTTGGCGACAAGACAGGATATCCGACTGGATGCTCCCGTCTGTGCGACGACGGTCGATGAGTTTTCCGTTAAAAACTTTGGTTTGAGTAGTGTCCGTTGGAGTTGCGCGTCGTCCAGTGCACTGCTTTGTGTCGCGTTCGACACTTCTGGTGTGGTCGCAGTACCCACTACCGCGGTCGAGTTTGTCGTGTTCCGCGGTGGCAGAGTAGTGGAGATACCGCGCATAGGAGCCAAAGGCTTTTCGACGGGTTTTCCTCCAGTTTCCGGCACTGAATTTTTTTTCCCGTCACCTGTAAAAACACAAACAAGGATAATATTATTATAAATAATTTTTTATAAGAATAAACTATATTAGAGGCAAACAAGTTTATCCATTTATTAATATTATATCATTTTGTATACATAGTAGTTACTCTTATATGGTTAACGATATGATCGAGAGTGGATTTTTGAGTATGGTTATTCCCGCTTATCCGTAAAATAAAGAACAAACTGTATTATATATTATAATATTGTATGTTATTGCCAATAAAATTATAAGTAAAATAAGTTATTATGCATTTTAATAATGGCCTATAATGAAAGCATTAGAATATAAGTACCTTTAAGCAGCTCATAGCCTTAACCGTTATGCATATTATAATAACTATTACTTTATTTCTCTGATGTTTGATTGTAACCCAAAAACGTTTATTTTAGTCTTATACCGAAACCGAAGTCTGCAGTAATGCAATACAATATACTATTTTAAATTAAATATTGTATTAACATATATTTAAATCTTCAAAGTCAACAATTTTTTGATTTTTCAAAGCATTCGAAAATAAAAATTTACTCACTGTATAGTATATATTATATTATATATAATATGATTAGTTATTTAGAAAAATGGGCCTGGCTATACATTTTTAAATTTCTTCTAAGATATAATAATTATTTTATTTTGTTTAAGGTGAGACTATCTTTTATGAGAACTCGAGTATTGACGAAAATATTAGTAGATTTTGTTCATTGATATTTTGTAATAATTTAATGTTAATTATTTTGGCGCATAATTAAATTATACAGTTTAATTAAATATATTTATTATAAAATATACAGTGATTAAGTAATACTTTTGAGGTAAAAAAAAAATATTTCCAGACTATGAAAACTTGGAGAATATATATTTTTGCATATCATTTCTAATGGTTTAGCGTTATAATGCATTACGTTTGAATTAAAAAAAAAAAAAAATCGAAAAATCGAAGACATCACTTTTTTCAAATTGTATTTTATTTTTATGACTTTAAAATAAAAATGATTTATATTTTATTCATAAAACATAATATACAATGAACGTATCGTATAATATGTAGATTATTATTATTATTATTTTATTTTAATATCTGTCGTGCCAAACCCTAGTACAACAGGTGGACCATAACTATGATTCACTGACACGGCACGTGTATTCCATACACATATCGTGCGTTGTATAATAGTGTGAAGTTGTTTACTTAATGAAATGTCAATCAAAACGAAATTTGCGGCTCGCACACGCCACGTTCGGTAGTGGTAATCGTAACAAAAATCGACCCAAAGACATTTAATTCAAAACAGTTCAAACTACGTTCTAGTACAGAATACGTGAACATTAAATATGCTATTTGCGAATGATTTCGACCGTATATTCAATAACTGTATAATACTATACAGTCTCTTTTGCGCCATTTGACGTTTGTTTAACGCACACTATTGTCTTATATATATAAACATAAAGGTATACATTTCAAATTCGTGTAATTTGATGTTTAGTTATACATGTATACATTCACTACGACAACAGAAAATGCGCTTAGAGATATTTATTAATAGGTACGTTGGAGTGCGTTCGTTTCATGTGTTACATTTAATCGGGGCGGGTTTAATATGACAATATGAGTTCTGTGAAATTAATATCCTATTAACGACGTTAAATTTGTTCTTTGAATTTTACGATTGAAATAGTATAGTATGTACAATGTACATACATACGTATAATATACTGTCTATATTAATTGGCGTATAATCAGTGATGTATTGGTAAATAAATTAATAGTAATACGTACTTAAAAGTAATTAAATAGGTATACCTTAAAAAATTATACTAGAAGAGTTACATTTTTAACGACTAGTAAGGTTCTTTTCATTTTTATTAATAAGAATGTGCGACTCACATATCCAGGAATGCTTTTCAGATTGCGTCGTGAAATTTTAAGCACATTTCGCTTGATATTTTTCATTATAACTTATATAAATAATTTTATTTTTGCCGAGAGAAACAGATAAACTACCCTTATCACATATCCTAGACATAATAAAGACGATAACTTAATATTTGGTACAAATAACATACAATTATATCCACTGTGAGAGTCAAATCGGAACCATGGTGAAGTATTAAGCAAAAACGTGTTTGCCGATTAATCGGCGACCAATTATTATTGTTTCTTTAGTTAAAATTATTTTGAATTCTTTGTAGAAATATTAAGAATACATAATTATTTTCACCTGTTTAACGGAAAAAAAAAAAATTGTGACGAGATTGCGACGAATTAGGTCAAAGAGCTTGCAAACGGTAAAATGAAAATATGTTATAATATCGTTTAAAATTCGAGAGAGATCGCTGGCTATAGTAACAAAAATGATATTATTAGAAAAACGACAACCAACAAAAATTTTACGAACGAGAACGTTTACTACATACATTATTTTGTTTCAGTCGTTAATTAATCGTATTAGTTACGTTTCAAAATTTCAGCTACGCCGAAAAAAAAAAAATGAAGAATCTGATCAAATTCCTGAACGTATTTGTGAATATTGTTGCGCGGGGCGTACCACCCGTACACAGAACAGAGTTGCAAAAGAACAGAAATCTACTGAAGATCGAGGACCCTTGGAATTCGTTTAGGCGGAGTAGATACGAAAATAAATCTAGTCGAACGGATGCGAGTCCTCGCAGCGTCGGCGTCTGCGTCGCAGATAAATTATGTCAAACGGAAGACGTGTGGCAGCTGTGTCTGGAGGGCGCTCGATACCTACTCGCAAGTGAACGCGGACGGCTCGCGAACGAACCGTGGTCACGGGCCGGCCACAGTTACGCGAGCTTTTCAAAGCTGCGGGTGCGAGTGGCGACATCGGAGACGGCCACGGCGACGGCCCAACCCTGCACGGCCGTCGTCCAAGTCTTTGGCGACGGCGACCACCAAACGGCATCTGCAAGGATTTCCACCGGGCACAACGTCCGAGGACGTATCGCAGGAATTCGCTCGACTCGGGACGGTATTTAAAAAAAAACGTCCGCGTCAAAAACGGCTTTGACTCGGGCCGGTAGACGAACTGAATCGAACTACGTGTGGTTTTGTGTCATTCGGTGCGGACCCGAGGGCGTTGACGCCGCACTTGCCGGAACACCGATCACGCGGTGAACAACGGCTATCGGGTTAACGTTGACAGGCCCAAACGCCAGTGACGAAAATGCGTTCTGATGTACCTCATCCCTAGTCCTTCGTCCTTCAGCCGCCGCCGTTGGGTACGGGTAATTTATAAACTATAAGTTGAAATGATTGAGGTATTAATAACTGTATATAGTTTTATAGATAGCTGACGATGAAATCGCTATAAGAGAATAATATCCACTCTCCGAATTGAAAACATCTCGACATTCAACGACCGGAAGCGAAGACACTTAATAATTGTTCGTAGACCGCAGCGACACTGGTGGAATACGAGGCGGCGAGTTTCCAGAGCCAATACTTCGAAGAACGATTCCAGCGGTAAACGCGCGCAAGGACGGACCAACAATCGAACCCGGCGAAGTAACGGCCAGAACGAAGCGATGATCGACGACAAGGACGCACCTCCGGCAACAACGGGTGGTCGACTACCAGCGGCCTTACGCGCGGTTGTCACCGTCCTTTGCCACCGGTCATGCAGCTTCTCTCGTGATTGCGACAGCGATCGACAATCGATCTACCATTGCGATTGATCATAAAAAAGTCCTTCTTAGGACTATGTGAACAAAGTCCCGCACCCAACTGGCGTGTCTGTTCAGGCGTTCGCTCAGAGCTGTTCAACCTGACCACGATTTACCTACATAAGATCGCGGAAACGTATTGCGGACTCATCCCTATTGTATATAAATCTATAGACTATAATGTGTCTCACTTATTGTATCATAGTCGCGCCTCTACAAGTCCTACACCGTTAGTCGCGGCTCGGTTTATTTAAGCCAGTCGCGCGGTCTGGTTTAAATTTACCTTCGACACATCGTTATATTATGTTAATAGATTAATAATATTAAAAAATAAACGTCCTACGTGATACCATAAATTGGCACTATAAAGGTAGGTCGCTGAATGTCGGCGTACGGTATCATATTATTGCAGACATCATTTGACATTACAGTATTTTAAATTACAAAAATAATAAATAACTTAAACGCGATGAAATACAAAAAAAAAAAAAAAAAATGTTTATAATAATAGGACTTAAGTATACGAGTAATATAGTCAGTATTTTTTTCTGAACAATACTAAATCTAAATTTATAAATTCAATTTAAAGTTCGTCATAAGTTGTTCATATACCAATTGAAAAAAAGGTAAGCAAATGGGTACCGATTTGCTGTATATTATATGTCAAGTGGATTACTGTTTTAGGCATGTATAACTAGAATTCTTAAGTTCACATATTCGTACACTTTGAATAGGTGCGAGTGGTATAATAATAATTGTGCAATAGGTACGTAACATATAAACGGAAAATTTCAAAAATTTTAAATGCCAAAAATAAAGTTTTTGATTTTAAATAAATATACTATTAAGCATTTTAAAAAAAATCACATTATTTTGTTATATTATAATCTTCATTTGTACCTATGCACTATATTATATTATAGTATTAAATAAAACATACAAATATATGCGTTTACATGTATAAATAATGTATAATGTAATAAATGTAATATTGTATTACATTTTTCACTCCTCTGCGTGTGGAGTGTCAGAAGTTTGATAAGTTCCTAAACATTTTACAGAATATGCCAAGTCTTTGATTTTTTTTTTACTTCAACATTAATTTTTGTCTTATTTAATACTAAGTTGAAAATGTTTTTGTCCTAGAAACCTCTCGTTTCCCTTTGATTACGTATCTGGAATCGCTAACCGTGTTACGAGGTTAATTAAATTTGACAACTTTGAAACGATCGTTTCGTAATATTATTCGTCATAGACCATAGTATATACAAATAAAACGTATTTATTTTCAGA